GAAATTACTGCCTTGTGCCTTGGTGATGCTACATACAGTACAAGCCCTGGCAGTAAATTCCACTGAATTCAAGGGCATTTGCTCAGGGAGATGTGTGTTTAGGACTTCAGCCATGCTGGGTCAAGTTCCAGGTTCCTTTTGAACTAGCTTAATAGTATCAGTTTGCTTGGGATTACTCTGTCCAGCGCTTGTGAACCATTGCAAGAAGGCAATTTGAAATGCAGCACTGGTGGCTACCAGAAAGATTTAATAATATGAGACTCTCAACCAAGCATCAGCTGGCATTTTGTTTAATGATCCTGCTTTGTTCCCATATCTTCACTTTCTGAGAGCCCTGACCACATCCTCAGCTCAATATTTTATGAGCTTTGTCAGCTTGGAGTTCAAGCCAAAAATGCCAGGACAAACTGGTGTTTTAGCACAAAGATTTTGGTCCTGCTGTTCTCCATTAAGAGGATCATGTGTAGTGGGCAGGAAGAGAATGCTTGGAGACAAGAGAAAGTTATAAAGCCTTAAGCTGGTAAAGAGGAGGCTTGAGGTCAAGCGCTAGCATAAGGCTGGCATGTGGAGCATTTAAAAAGGAGAAATAATTGTATGGAACTAGAGCAGGGGCACTTCTGGGATCAGCTGCACTGGGGACATTATCAGGATCAGATAAACCAAAGTCAACCTTCCTTTAAGCAGTGCCTGCTGCCATCTCTCACAATGCAGCATTTGTGACATCATTGGCTGTTGCCATGGAAGTTAACATGATACCACAAATTCAACCCTCTGATTCCTCTGCAGGATCAAACAAAAATAAGGCTGAAAAGGTACCAACTCTTATTCAAACACAAATATTGTATTTAATTAGAGAGGCAAGTAGGATAAACATTAAAACTATTTGAGAGAGATTTTTAAATGCCAGATGCTTTTCTAAGTTCTTATTGTGAAAGACTCACAATTTCCTATACTAACAGATCTGGGAGAAATGCTATAGTGAAGGTTAGGTGAAAGACTTTGGCCCAGTCAGGACTGTTTTTTTTAAATAGTAATGAGAATGCATGTGTTATCAGTTTATTTTATATGATCCATACACCTTCCCTTGAGGTTTTGCATGTTGTGGGAGATACCTTTTTCTCCCTTGGACAGAATACTTGTTACTATTGTCCAGGGCTGATTCCAGATTTTTGTTCATTCTTGCCCATCGAGTCACCTAACTGGCTGAATTATGTTCATAAATTTTAAATGCTACACTGAAGAATGTCCACACAGCCTTCCAAAAATCTTTGATATGAATGGAAAAGTAGACCCTCCTCCAAAAGAAGGATAAAAATCTAGTGTAATAAAGATAAAAATTAAATATGAAATTCCACCATTAAATTATATTAGAATAATTAATACCAATAGTTTGTAAGTTCAAGTCAATGACTGACACATTTTGATCTAACTTTTGTCAGATTGCTCTAAGTGTGTTATTAACGTGGAAACACAAAACAACAGTACCTCATAAAAATATAGATCAAACTACTTTGGTTGTTTGACAGATCAATGCAACTAAAATTTTACTGTGAAAGTAGATCCTGAGTGAACTTCTCAAATAAGTAATTCAGTTATGTAATTAAATAATGCTTTAGCTTTATTCTAGGACTAGAGTCATGGTTCCTCTTGCTGCCATTGGCTCTGCTGATCTGATATCAGAGTCAAAGAGTCTTGGAATATATAGTTTTGGGATCTTTAAAAATGAGTTCTAGACTCTGCAGATTATAGGCCAGATTATAGGCAACATTGGTCAAAATACTGGAATGTTTATAGTACAACTTGTCAATATGTCAGCTTGATGGGGTGTGTGGCCGTAGAGCCTATCATTGGAGCAAAGATATCATATGTTATTTATATGGTAGGATTATGTCTTTACTGAAAAAGTTAATCCTCAGAATCTAATACTCATGCTGAAATCCACTGCAACTTTAACTTATTATCTTTTTAATTATTGCTATCCAACCGTAGTAAAGAACCTAATGCTGCTTACACCCCCCCCCCCACCTTCATTTAATTTTAATCTGTAAGGTAGGTTAGGTTGAGAGTGAGCAATTGGCCCAGTAAGCTTGAAGGCAAACTGAGGACTGGAACACAGATCTCCTGAGTTCCAGTGTAATACCCCAACTATCACTTGTTTTCCTGTATGACATGCTTGTACACTCCACTTGCAGATTAAGCAAGCCCAATGAATCTGAGGTGGTGAAGTTCCACAGACACTGCAGGACCAAACATCTGCTTATAACTACTGAAAGGAACAGGTTGCTTGAGAAAAGATGTCATTCTGCCCAAAGAGGCCAATAAAGAGGGAACTGTGGCGTACATGCAGTGCCTGCAGCTGAGGAAGTATGTTCAGGATAACTTTCCCAAACCTGGTGTCTCTCAGATATGCTGGGTTGCAACCTCCAGCATTGCTAGCTAGGAATTATAGGGGCTGCAGTTTAAACTTCTTGAGGGTGCCAGATTGAGAAGGCTGAAGTCATAACCAGCCTTTTTAATTGTATCCAGACACAGGTGGGTAGGGAGTGAAGCTGTTGTAACAAAGAGCTCACTGCTCTCTGTAATTGGTCCCAGTCAACAGTCTGACCAGCATAACAGCACAATGTACCAGTTTAAAATTTCTGAAACTTTTCAAAGGCAACTCTGCATAGATCCCACTTCAACAGTTCAAATGGAGCACAACTGAATCAGGCAACTGTAAGAATGGCCCAGCTAGTACATTAGCCTTGCTGTGAAAATGCATGCCATGCCACTTTTGAAATCTTGGCAACCAAATTCAGAGCTGATTCCAGAAGAAAACATGAACTGCAAAGCTGAATCTTTGAGGCGGGTGGAATACTCCCAGCACCAAAACTGGACAGTCACTCTTAGTTGCTTTCCATTTATGTTAAATAGCCTAAGGAGCAAGAAAGAACCTTGAGGGTCTTCGTAAGCCAAGGGATCAGGGTATCAGATAGGTATCCCCCAGCAAGGCTAGAACTAGGGTGGGATAAGCAGGGCTCTTGCCCTAGACATCTGATCCAAGGGGGCACAAAAATCATGACTGTTATATGAGTGTTATTTGTGTATGCACATGTTATTTACAAAAATAAAATGTATTTAAATACATCATTGGTTGGACTATTGATAATGGGTAATACTGAATGCTATTGGGGTGGACTTGAATTCAGTTTACAATAAACTGTGTAAAGTCACAACTGGGAGACATTTTTGGGAGCTGTGTAGGAACTGCAAGATGTACCTGCTCTTCCCTCAGTGTACATGTCACGGGAGCATCTTTGTAACAAAGCAAAACTCCCACAATACTCATTTACAAATACAAACACTGTTTCTAATGATTTTGAGTTTCTTTTGGGAACTAAAAATTGTCTAGAAGGAATGTCCTGGGACTGAAGCATACAGTAGTGGATTTGGTGCTAAAATACAGGAGTGATTTGAATCCTGCAGAAATGTAATCAGGCACTGTCAATTTTCTCTTGTTCTAGAGTCAGTGAAAATTTTAGACTGCCTGAAAATAATCTGTGAATATCTTATGAGGATATTTCTCACTACACCTGTTAATGATAGCATGCTGTGGATAATGCTTCCGCAAGATTAATTAAAACATATTTGAGATTTCTTAGCCAACAGAGATAATCATATATAGTGGGTCTTTCATTTGAAAAGTTAAAAATATTTTTACTAAAAAATTGACAGTTTTGTTGCCATTAAAGCTTGAGGATGAGCTATTCTTGTAATTTTATATTTTTTTACTTTTTTTCTAGCATTCTGTGTAATCTATGTAAACATATTGTGGGAGTTGTTTCCTTTTTTATTCTATTGTTTATCATTATTATGTGATTAAGTGGTCTTCATTATATTCACTTTTTATAGATGTAATGCACATCAATTATTTTATCTTCCAGATTTAATAATTATTGTACTCTTACCACAATCAAAAAAGTGATTCATTCTTGTTTATTATTTTATTACAACTATTATTAATTTTTGCGTATTAAAACATGAGGTTGGCTTAGTGGAGCACTTCATGCTATTTGTCCTAGATACTGATACATAGTTGAGGCCTTGCCCCCTTCTGCACCTCCCAGAAAGAGCAAGGTCACTGTAGAACAGTACCTCCAAGTCTTATCTTAGAGAAATGCAACAAAAGGATATGAAGCTGCCAAAAGGTCCAACCAAATCAACAGGGATTCACTGAGTGTAGGTTGTCCACCAAGGTGATCAAAATAGCCGCTAACACATAATCAGATGCCTCAAACTCTCTTTGGCCAAGAAAAAAGAAAACTTTGTACATTTCTAAAAATTTGTTTCCTCTTAAAGCATCTACAACTGGGGATGGGCTATTGGACTGGTTGGATGAACTAAGACTATTTTACATTGGGGAAATATGGCAAATGAGTACTATTTTCAGGATCTAGCTGATGAGTCAAAGATATTTGTCTGGCCACATATTCTTCCTGGTGAAGAACTGCTCAGACACCTTTAGTTGCAGCAAATCATGTTGAACAAAACTGCACATCCTTTATCTCAGGCTTGCAAACTCTTGTTTCTTTGTCTTCTATTCCTTGTTTCCACATTGGGTATTCTGTTTCTCTAAGTGGCAGGGACAGTTTATACAATATACCTCCCTATAGTACAGTATAGGCTGGGCTACCAAAACAACAAAAGGAAAAGTGGAAATCGTGGATGACTGTGTGCCATTATATACCTGATCCAGAGCAAGATTAGGCAGTGTATGACCCTTCAATCATCTTGGCTCCAAACTCCTGTAATTCTTCATCACTGGCTATGATTGGCTCAGGTCCATTATGTTTGAAGGGTCACAAATTGCCAACCTCTGCAGAAGTTAGGGAGAGGGTACCAGGTACAGGTCCTACTTTTCAGTTGTGCAAGTGAGCACTGCAGTTACCTTGTAAGTTATTATGTAATCCAAGTTCTCGCTATCAATTTTTCAGTGTTCCTAAGCATTGTTCCACATTTAATACTTGAAGCAGATACATTTTTAATGTTTTCTAAGAGATAAAAAATTCACATCAGACATTAACAGAATTAAGCATACTTATTCAACACACACGTCCTCTGGGACAAATGTTATTCAATTTAATCATTTTAATTTACATTGGATATGTACAAGAGCATTTCTTTCAACCTCACATGTTAATACACATTCTCTCTGTCCCCCCTCATGCGCACGCGCACGCGCACGCACATACACATACACACACATGCACACACTGCTGTTAGAGGAGCAGAGGAAATTCTGAAGTACATTGTTGTGTAAAGCAAGGCACTCTCCTTTAACAGCTGTAATATTCCTGATTTTAGCCTATGAAACAAGGTATTTTCACCAGAAAAGGAGCAGATTCATCAGCCTTAAATGTCTATGCTCCACCCTACTTTTGCTTTTGAGGTTTCCCAAGGATCAGACTGCATGAATATTTTTATACATTTAAAAACAGATTTAAAATCCCATCCAAAAGAAAATCTATGGAAGACTGAAGCAAAATGATTCCATTAAGTCTAACATAAGGTTCTGAAATCTTTCAACTGCAAACACTTATTCTATCAAAACCAACCAAATGCTTTTGCTCAAGAAAACAAAGAAAAATGGTTTTATGGAACACAGATTTTGGTTTGAGAACCCAACTCCATGAAGAGTTATGAACTTTCATCTTCCATTTCCTTTCATGAGAACTGAGAAAGAGATGAGAGGTTGTGTATCTTGCAGGATTTGTTCCCATTGCAAGATAGCATTCTAAAGGAACAATCCTATGGCCTCCGACGTTATCTGGGAGGGACATAGGATTATTCAGAGCCCCAGCTCCAGGGTTCTGAAATCTTAATCATGGGAATCTGAGTCCCTGACCCTCTTATCTCACACTTGGTGCAGAAAGAACTGTGCCAGCTGCTTGTTCAAGAATGCAACTTGGCCTTGGAGTGGACGACCAAGAGGGCATGAATGGGAGGACACCGCGCCATTGGCTCCCTCCCCTTTCCTGGTGCCTGATCTAGATAGCTAAAGATGGACACCTCAATAAGATGTATGGTGCAATGAGCTACAGTGGCAGAGTGTTGCTGCCATTCCTTACTCCATTCATTTGTAGCAAAGGGCACTAAATTGTGCCCTTACAGAATGAAGTGAAATTGGAACCCAATGATTCCAGTTCCTACTAATTCCATTGGGATAATTAGTGTATCTTCTGCATGTGTGGTAAAAATATTAGCATATCTTCTAAAATTCTTGTGATTTTGTACATAATGTGTACAAAAAAATCAAATTAAAATCAAAATACATTTGCCATGCAGATCAGGCAAGTGAACATCAACCTACAAGAAAAATCAGTTTCCTCTGATATTTAATTAAGCTATTCTGTTTGCACATAAAGTCAATACAAAAAAGCAATACGTTTTCAAATATTATCTGCAGGTAAACTGAAAATATTAGGTATAATTATTAGAAGCCTGTTTCCCTATTGACACTATTACCAATCTTGATAGAAGAATAAATTTCTCCCCCTGCCCAAAACACATCCAAACATCATAAATGATAAACTACCAGGCAACTTTTTGAAAACCGGATAATAGCGTGATATCTAGCCTATGCTTTGCAGCTATTAGGCAGTTAATTTGGCATTTGTTTGATTGTATAATTTAATTTCCATATAAACAGCATAGTTAAAAAAAGACAAAACTACTATAGACTGTTTAAAGTTAACAAAAAACAGGGACATCAGATTGACATTCAAAAATTTTCTTTTTTCTTAGCAAAATGACCAATGAATTCTTGACTTAATACAGTGCATATAAATTTTTTTTAAGAACGAAAATATTTAAATATTATTTAAGTTAGCAAAACATGAGCAAGATTTTTAATATCAAAGTGCTAAATCGTACTGCCTTAAAAGTCACTGCAAATAAACAGTAAGATAAGGTTTGCTTGTGAAAGGACAGATTTTATATACAACTGGTTAATAAAAATGCACACATACATGTGTATGTGTGTGAGACTACCCACACCCACACCCACACTCATTATATAACTGAGTCAGTGTGAACACACTACTTAGTCACTCTGTGTAACACGGCTCCCATGAGCTGGCAGTCATTGCAATAAATACAGGCAAAGCTTTACAATATATCATGCATACAAATATTTATACAAGTAAAGACGCTATGCAACAAATCATTTAATATTAATATGGCATCAACAGTAGAAACATACAAAACAGGGAATACATACACGGAATGTTTAAAATGTAGCCCACTAAACCATTCCTAGCATTTATATTCAGACTATTTTTACAAGACTTGTTCTTCCATACTGTCTTGTGTCTTTTCACTAACCAATCTGCTTAATTTAGGTCTAATCCTAACTACACCTGATACTGACCCTGTCTCTTTCAGTTATTTCACATGGTTTTCTATTTAATTGGCCAAGGAATAAGCATGTGATCCCATCACAAATTGCCCCCGTGTCTTGCTTTCCACGTATGCTTGTCAGAAAGTCATGCTACATCAATCCAAAGTTTGAGAAACTTTGTTCTGGAAGTTAGTAGTGCATGTAAAACCGTTCCCCCATACTTTTATTTCTTTTATTTTAATTTTCATATTAAAATAAATTATAGTTAATAAACAAGACTTAGTAAGACAGCACTTTAAAAATTGCACTTGAGCATGGGAACTAACAGCCATTGTCATTTTGCTATATCTGATTTATACAAAAGAGTGAATGAACATTGTTGCGGGGAAGTGGGGGAGAAAACATTTTAATTTGTGCTAGCATAATGTGCCCTTGGTATGGGAAGTATTTTAAAGGTATAAACTATAAAATACGTACTACCCAGGTGAATAATTTGTAGTTGTTCCTGTTTTCAAACACACAGCAGTTACAATTTTCTACTCGCCACCAAAGAGGAGGTGCTATGTAATAGATTTTTAACAGTCATATTAACATCTTTTTCCTGCTGGGATAGCTTGTTCAAAAGTGCCATATTAGCAATCAAAAAGCAAAAAAACTGCACTTGTCCCTCCCCCTCCAATTCCTCATCTTCATAAATGTAAGTTATGTTTAGGCCTCAGTTTGCATGGAAAAGCATTAGGAAAGCCCACTATGTAGGGCTGGAACTGCCCCCCCCCCCCCCGCGCCATTAAATGAGAGCAGCATGGTTAGCAGTAAATGTCAATCTTTTTGCCTGCTCTGGTAGACAGTTGCCTTTCATGAAGGTAATCTGAACCTCAGAACGGTAAGGTGTCCAGAAACAATTTGTCGATAATGGAAGGGGGTGGCACCAAATCTTCCAATTTCAGGTAAAAGATCCGCTGCAGTCCTAGTGTGCAGAGGGAACGCAAGTCAGCAAGGACACCAAGTACCTTAGACTCTGCGGGTTCAAAAGGCTGCCCTTTGCTCTGGCAGCTGAAGGCTAAGTGATCTTTCAAGCTGCTCATGATCTTGTTGCATAGCTCATGCACTTTCTTTGGTTCTTTTAATCCATGTCGTTCTGCAAAGCAACAAAAACAGACCTAACTAAGCAGGCATATTTTGTGAACAAGTCTGCATGTGATTAATAGTAACTTTTGTGTAAACAAGAAGAGTACTAGTAATTACATAGGAATGTATGTCTATGAGGCATGTAGGCATGCATATCTCTAAGTCTGTTCGTGGTGTACAATGCCAGGTGATTAGGCTTCTTAGAATACCACTCATGTGTAATGATTGCTTTTCCATACCAAAATGTTTATATCACTACGGCTAAAGAGAAAGTAACCTAAATGATATGCATTGCGTTTATTGCATTGGAGGATTTGATGGCAGAACTGTCACAGAAAGTGTTTTGGAGATTTCCCAGCTTCCCTACCAGTTGTGAATGCTCAATAACTATGGCAACCATTATTTATTCAGTGAATTCAAGTGGAGATCAATATCCACTGCTAGCTCCATCAGTGCTAGGCCTGGAATTCCACCAGGAATTCACAGACACTCAGCTAAGAAACCAAAAGCACCTCAACCAACCTTTGCCATTTTAATTATCTTCTAGTTTTGCAGCTTATTTACCTCTGAAGGATGGGAGATAAAAGTAATCTCAAAGTCAGCTTTTTCAAGTCTGGAACAAATGCTTGCATTGTATAAAGTACTAAAAAGGTGTGATGCTTCCTAGATAAGAAAACCTTGAAACCCCAAAAATGAAGAGAAGAGAAGGCCAAAGCGTATAGCAAAGAGCTTTGTTGTGATTACAGAAGACAGAAGAAGAACCCTGCTGAATCAGATGTAAGCTCCATCTAATCCAGTATCCTGTTTTCTACAGAGACCAACCAGGTACCTCCAGGAAGTCCCAAAGCCCCATCTTACACAAACTCTATATGAACTCTGGGCAAATGTAATTAGCTGAGCAGTAACCAACCAGAATGAAGTTTACTGGGCAATGGTCTGCGGGGTGCCATTTTTTGGCAATAAAAATATCCAGTTATAGGTGCAATGTTCTCCTGGGAAATATAGTGACATAATTTAACCAGCTTAACCTTTGATGAATTGGGAGGATTCAGTATTGTAGCATCTATTTTCAGTCTGGCCATAATCAGCATAATCTAACATGTAGTATCTTTTGATAAATGTGGATGGATCTACTATTATCTTTTAAAACTTCTGAGCAGATTTTTTCCTAAGAAGTCAAGAGAGACCTAACTTACCTGTAATCATACTTAGAGCTGATAAGCATGCTAAGGCTGGGATGTCAAGGTTGAGGCTCTGTAAATTTAAGGAAAAGTCTTTAATCGAATCGAGCCACTCCCCAAATCCACGAAGGCACTGAAGTCTATGAAGCACAAGTCCATTGCAGAAAACAAATTTATCTTCAGCAGTGTCAGATCTTGAGTGTAAAAAGAGACATGTGTTATGAATATAGTTAGAGTGACATGTGCAAACATTAATACCAAATGTATAACCTAAATTCCAACACACATGCATCTAAGTGTGAGAACATATGACCTTTTTGGGGCAGAAATAAAACAATAAAATCTACTTTGCACAGTTAAATGGCTGCTAAGCATATCATGTAGTTAGAGGGAACCTGATTAGTTTAGAATGCACTAATTAGTTTAGAATGCACACAAAAAGAAGACACATTTGCTTTTGAACCTAATTAAGACATAGATCATAGATCAATAGTCTTTGTTGAAAAAATTATGGGTATTCAAGGTTGCTCCACAGTAGAGTGATGCAGAACTATCATGTTCAACTAAAATACAACTTTATTTACCTTGGCAAAGAGTTGCAGTCTGTGACAGCCTGCTCCTTCCATTTACTTGGAAGTAAATCCCTAAATTAAATGGAATTTATACTTGGGCAAATATACTAAAAGCTGAAACCTTTAGGCTGGTCCAAAAAAGCAGAGCCCATGTTTGATCTCTTTCTGGACTTTTATCAATTCAGACTGCAGGTGGAAGGGTAACATGGTTCAGTGTGTCTCCATGAAAACAAAAACCTTTCTCTTTGACATCTAATTCACTATGTCCAAACAATGCAGTCATGGAATTACCACTTGCAATGTATGCATACTTTTGCCATATAATCTATTGTAATACAGACTGGTATGATGTATATGTTTGCTTGCTATCCCAAATTGCTATTCTTTTATACTGAATTCTGCTTTATCCATCTCTGCCTGTTCAAGGTAACTAATATGCTAATGTTGTTCCTCTAACCCCCAAGGGGAAAAACAACAGAAAGGAATATAAAATTCTGATTATTCAGGGTGACCTTTTACATATTCATAATTTATTTCAGAATCTGGTTAAGCCCTTGAAAGAAAGTTGGGTTTCTAGTTGTCAACCCAAAGATCCTGTCTGTGCCAAGAGCAAGAAGAAATTCAGCAGAACTAAGGCTTTATAACTAGGTATTTATTATTGCTTTACAAATAACAATTTTTATTTTTCATTTTTATAGATGAAAACAGAAATAACAAAATTAATGGACTCAGAGTTTTATTTTAAAATACTATGTGAATACTTGTTAAATACATGCTCAGTTCACAGTTGAAGCTCAGATTTACCTGATGGACAGCCTTAGTACAAAAAGCTCCAAAAAGGCTGATTCTACAAGTAGAGTTTGATCTTCCTTTGGGAGATCTGTAAATCCTGGGATTTTTTCTGCCCAGCTCCTGGATATGTCAATGGAGGCAGTGAGAAGATTATAGAACTGCTGCACATGTTCAACATCTGTACCTGCAGAAGCCTGCTCCGTGGAACAGTACTGAAAGGACAACAATCAAAAACAGAAAAAAAGAAATATATATTGGTGTGCTTTTGAGAAAAATGTATAGGCATTCTTCTCAACCTTTTTTTTAATCAACTCTTGAAGGATAAAAACAAGTAGCTTTTTTCAAAATTGTCTTATATTTTGTTTCAGCATAAAGATGCAGAATAAGTATAGCGATTTAGACACAGACCAACTGCTGTCCCTAAGCAATCGCTGTATCATGCCTGAAGGCTTGCTGGCTCTCACTAGTGGGAATTAGATCAATCAAAAGCATTTTATCTATTTATTATGCTTAAAGATCTTTTTACCTTCCAAGGAACCCAAGGCAGCTCATATAATTCTCCTCCTCCTCTCACTCTTATCCTTACAACAACAAGCCTGTGAGGTAGGTTGGCTGGAGATTCTGTGTCTGTCCCAAAGTCATCCAATTAGCTCCATGGCTGAGAGTCCCAGGCCCACCACACTCTTAATCACTACACCACACTGGCTCTCTTTCAATCCTTCCATCTTGCCTCAATTATCTCTCTCTTGAACTAATGCTGCTCTGATGGGTATACAGTGGGTACAGCAGAACTTACATCAGGGAATCCTGGCTTGAAACTCCTGCTTAGCCATGAAGTTCATTGTTTGAACTTGGGTCAACCTAACTTGTCCTGATATGTGGTTAATGGTATGACCCCTGAATTCAAGGATCAAATGAAGGAACCCTTTCCTTACTACTCAGAGAACAAGAACTTAGGATGCTTCTTTATACTGAATCAGACTTTTGGTCCATGCAGCTCATTTAGCTCCCATCCATGAAAGCAGTGCTGCTCTTCCTATTGTGATATGATAGAGGAGCGGTTTCCAAATTGTGGGGAATCCTAGGATTCCTGAAAGCCTGTCAGAAGTTCCCCAATAAAAAGTTCAGTGATGATACAACAGACTTTCCTAGAAGAAGGTGATTCCACCACTACCAGTTTTATCAGTGTGAAGGGGGATTTTTTTTGTTGAGTTCTCAAGTTGAATGCTCAGTTCATTATGCATCAAGCAAGCCTATGTATTTACTAGTTCCTAAACTTCCAAAAAAGAAGGGAGGAAGAAAAAAAAAAGAACATTAAAGCATAGATTAGTAACTACTCATTGTGAGTTGTGTATGTGCCCTGGAAAACTTCCCCAATTTTCTGCAGAGTGCATGAATTCTTCAGCAGAAAAGTCATATGTGGGAAGAATTTCCCAATGGCAGAAAGTTTGAAAACTACTGTGAGGGTACAGAATTAATGCAAAGAAAGAGCTCACAGGCTGTGGGATAACCATGGCTTTCTGCCAGCTTGTCAACTGAATGGACACCCACATATATCAGCAACAGAAATATTAATTCAGCATTCGTGCCACTCTTTCCAAATTTCATCTGAGCTATATACATTTTTTTAAAAAAGTAATGCATGGATAATGTTCATGCATTTATCCATTCATTGTTGTGTGCGTGTGCATTTGTCAGTGTGCATGTGTTTAAGAGGAAACTTAAAAAAAATTAAATCTGTTCTGAGGATTAATGGCGAGGTTCCTTGCTGACATCATCGGAGATAGCCATCCCCTACTGCATACATCTGTATCTCTAGTTACGATGAATCAAAGCACTTATTTTAAGAACACACTGCTACTTTGCAACATAATCTTGTGCATGTTCAAGGGCTGACCTCTGAATCTTGTCCCCTGCTACATAACTGATAGATTAAACATACCTCTTCACATTCCAATAAATAGTTGTTGTGTAATACAACTGTGAATCAAATAAAAATATTCTTGCCTTGCTGAAGATTTAGAATCCATTGTCACGTGCACATGTATCTCCAGTGGGTTCATATGATCCCATTCTGATTCCATATATGTCTGCCCTCATCATCAAATGTTATTTCTCTATAGTGCTGTTAGTATCAATCTACACGAGAAAGGCTCACGTAGGGGGAGAAAACCTTACTTCAGAAACTGTTCTGGAGAGAAGTAAGATAGCAAGACAGATGTTGCTGAAATTGTCAGCTAGGATTTTGTGTGCACATTCTATTTTCTGACTCCAACGTCTTTGTTAGGTCAAGGTGTCATTCCCCTGATGCAGGGGAAATGGGCTTTGGGCAAACACAGTGCCATGGAAAGATGAGGCACAACCCCACTCTCCTGTATGCAGACTTCCTTTTCTGTGTGATCTGTCTATTTTCCAAGACTCCCCTAAAAATCTCTGTCAGTATAAGCTAACTGAATAATCTATAAATGAGCTACTTAACAGCTTAATAGGTAAAATGGGAAAGAAAAAAGGATTAAAATGGCTGAAAAAGAGTGTTAAATTATTGCCTCGAGTCAAGAGACTAGATAAGTAAGATACTTTCTATTAGCACAGCTTCTGCTGGCAAATATGCAGTAAGCTTCTGTACCGGATGGTAACGTTGAACTGGAAATGTGGTGATTGCATATGCAATGGGGGAGGTTGCTATGCAATGTTTTCCTTCACAGGAAAAGGAAAAGGTACAGTGGTAGGTACAGTGGTACCTTGGCTCATGAACTTAATCCGTTCCATGACTTTGGCTGCAACCCAAATTGGTCGTGAGCCAAGTCAAATTTCCCCATAAGGGTCAATGTAAAAAAGGTTAATCTGTTCTGTAAATTTTTTTTTAAATCACAGGGAAGATGGGCACAATCGCAGGTGTGCTTGGGTGGGGAGATGGCCTGATCATGATCGTCACCCGATGCGGAGTTCACGACCTGAGGAAAAATTTTAATGAAATTTCTGTTTGTGACCCGATTTGGTCATTAACTGAGGCATTCATGAGCCGAGGTACCACTGTATAACCGTAATACTGGCCAACTGCCCAAAAAGAAACCCAACTGAACAACAGAGAAACAACTCAACCTGACCTGTTCTGGGTGCTTTTAAAAGTACCCTTACTATAAAAATCAGTGAGGGAAATTTCATGGAACGCTGATGTTTGCAGATCAAGTTCCCATGAAAGGCTTAAGTGCATGGGCTGTTTGGCAGGAGTTTGTGAATTAACAGTGTATCAACATTCTATGGTAAGAGCTGCCCACCTGAAGAATTAGTCCAAAGCTTTGAATAGTGCATCTCCTTAACAGTTTCTGGGGGTTCTGGACACATCTAATGGATATCCAACTCCTGCCATCTACATAACCTGGATAGGCTAAATGCATCATCCATTCATGTGCAGCACAGGCAGGGATAAATTTGATATATAAATGTGTAGTAGAAATTGTAAAATGAATTTATTTATTGTGCATATCGCTGTTCACATCTCACTGACTTTGCTCTTTGAAAAAAAAGCAGTGTGGCATGCCAGAGATGAAACTTCTCCTGGCATGGAGATCAGGTTATGAACAAAGCTTCACATGCTGAATTAATATTCTATTGCTCAAGATACATAAAGGAGGCAAATAAAGAAAGTTGGCAGACTTATCAGAGAAAGCAAAACCGATGATAACTCAAATAAACTGAAACTTAATCCAGATAAGACGGAAGTCCTGTTGGTGGGTGGATCGAGCTCCTGGGTAGGTGGCCTGGACCTTGCCCTGGATGGGGTTGCACTCCCTCTAAAGGACAGGATCCGCAGCTTGGGAGTGTTCCTCGACCCGGAGCTGTCTTTGGAAGCACAAGTGACTGTGGTGGCGAGGAGTGCTTTCCTTCAACTTCGGCTAATTTATCAGCTGCGCCCCTACCTGGAGGAAGACTGTCTAGCAACAGTGACACATGCATTGGTTACTTCCCAGTTGGATTTCTGTCACGCGCTCTACGTGGGGCTGCCCCTAAAGACAGTCCAGATACTTCAGATGGTGCAAAACAGAGTAGCCAGGTTGCTGACGGGGACTGGATGTTATTCTCACATAACCCTAGTCCTGTACCAGCTTCACTGGCTTCCCATCAAATTCCGGGCTTAATTCAAGGTGCTGGTTATTACCTATAAAGTCCTTAATGGCTTGGGACCTGGATACCTGAAGGAACGCCTTATTGCATATTTGCCCTCCCGCCCCTTGAGATCGGCAGCAGAGGCTCTCCTCCGGGAACCCTCTGTGAAAGATAATAGGAGGCATAGTACCCGGAGGAGGGCTTTCTCTGTGGTGGCGTCCCGCCTATGGAATGTGATCCCCAGAGAGGTCTGCCTGGCGCCGTCGTTGTTTTTCAGCACCAGGTTAAGACCTTTTTATTCCAGCAATATTTAAATAAATTTTAATATTGTTTTTTTCTATGTTTTTAATTGCAGCCAGTGTGGGGCAGGGATTTTATTTATGTTATATCTTATTTTATGTTGTAAGCTGTCCTGAGGCTTTTTGCAAATTAGGATGGCATATAAATATTTTAAATAAATAAATAAATACTGGTGAAAATCCTCTAAAACAACCAGTAGAGTTAATGTTGCACATTATCTATTAGTTTCCCACCAAGATGAAAAGCTTATTGGAAACATAAATATGACAGCCTCTGAATTTAGCACTTACAAAATAAATGGTTGCAAGGGATTTGCTTATCCCTTCATGTTATTGATTAAACCTGAGATATGTTAGTTGTGTATGCTTGTTTGATTTTCTATTTTGAACCAACAATGAGTACATTTTAAGTTGGTGCTTGATACATTTTTTGTGTAGGAACTTTTGAAAGTAAAGTAGCAATTTTGCAGAAATAGGTGGGCTAATCATATTCTTTGATTCAGTCATAGGACTTTCCTTCAGTCCCAGGACTGTCTCACTTTCTAGCAGGCTGCAGAACTGATCTATGGTAGGGATGGTCTTTGTTTTAACTTAAAGCATAAAATAGGTCTAGCTACTAAACTGGAGGTAAAAGCAAGATTGTCATTTTCAAAACCATTTTAACACCTGTTTGATAAGATGGACTTAAATAGGCACAGCATTGATCATTGCTGCACTATTATGTTGGGGAAACCTGCACCCGTTGGAGTTTTGCTTGTCATACTAGGAGGAGGGTTTATTTAGGAGAGCACAGCAATCTGTACATGGATGCTTGTTGTTACAAGGCAGTAGGGATCATGGTAGGTCTCGTAAGTTTGCCTGGGCTCTAAGGCTGAAGCCATGCATGCATATCGCTTCCTTTCCTCAGTTGTCCTTTTCTGCAATATCTAACATTTCATTCCATTCTTCCTCCAAGAATCCAGAGCATGACCTATGGTGCTAGAACCATCATTTGAGTAGAAATTATGCAACAGGCCCAGTTAAATGCTGTTGAGGGGGAAATTGCTAACTGTGGACCTTGCATAGCAAAAACCAAACAAAACAAAAACAAAAAACCACTACTCCTGTTCCTTGGTTATCTGAAGGACCTTCCTTTAGGAAACCAACCATTATTTCCTTGACACTACATTATTACATCAACAGGGAAACTAAAGCATGGCATCCTTATGTTATCCTGTCAGAACTAATTGCGAAACTAGATGATAATTTTGCCAAAATAAGGGAATTGGGAGGACTGAGCAGGCAATTAACCACTCCTTCACATAGCAATTTCCCACTGCCAATGCCACCTTGGTACCATAAATCCCCATTCAGATGCTCATTTGGTTTGGGAGCATGATGGCGGGAGATACCCCTGGGAGGACACTTGCAGGAGAGATTCAGCAAGGGATGGAAGTAAAGCATTCTCCCTCCTAAATATGCTCCCATCCATTTTTAAAGAAAAATCTATTTGTGAAGAAACAATTTAGAAAATCATGTTTCCTTCATAACATGAAGTTTATCTCTAAGCAAACAGCTTCTTTTAATTTACTATTTCCCTAAGCCACTGCACAGTGCAGAATTCCCATTGAGGTCAATAAATACTGTGATTAACAAAGACTTTAAGATTTGGAGACAGATTCTTACCTCTCTAACACAGCTCAAGTCTGGAAAGGAATTGCACCAGTGCAAAAACAGGTGGAAGACCCGAATTAGGCCTATGCCCTTTAAAGAGTCTCCTCCTAGTGACTGCTTTTTGAAAGCAAGTTTCTAAATATACTGTTACTATGGACTGGTAAATTAATACCAACTCTAAAACATAGAGTATCAACAAGTCAAAATAATTCAAGTAGAACTTGAATTGATATTCCCTAGTTGTTGTACCATTATTTAAGTTACCATTTTCTTACTCTGCTAGATTTTGTGCTAGGAGTTCCAACTTTGGTTTAGTTAGGCAACCCCTATGTACAACATAAACCTGGCTGAATAAATCCATATTTATGTAGCACATCTGTAGAATGAGGCAAAGCACAGAGGATAGATACTACTATCTCCATATGTCCTCAAAATAATGTAAGTTAACATTAAATTTCAGTTTTCTCTTTACAATATTCAGATAAATGAATTGTTAACAAAAGTTCTTCAATACTGCTAAGTTACTACGGTTTCTACACTGAGATGTAAAAGTGCCAAACCTCAGGTACAAGCAAAAATACTTTGCTGGTACTAAATGCTGCAGATAAAAATCTAAAATAATTTCAACCATTCCACTCTTCCAGATAATTCTGATACATTTTTAACCATAAAGATCATCAGTTTGGTATAAAGAATATTTTCTTCATAATTTCAGTACCCAGAATAAATTTGTAACTACTACAACTGAGAGAGAGAGAGAGAGAATGAGAATGAATTCTCTTCTCATTTGACTGGTTCCATTCTGAATATTGGTTAGTTTCCTGCCAGAAATCCATACACTTAGAATAAACAGAGTTAGACTGAAATCAACAAAAGCTACTTATTTTGGAGCAGGAAATCTGAAATCCAACTGAAAACTAATCTGCTAACCTCAAATGTATGTCCTCATGAATAAAATTAATTAAAATAAATGTGACCTATACAAGACCAGCCAGAATTAACCACAGTGAGTAAAATGCACACAAAATATAATCTGATGCATTCTCCCATGAGTAATACTTACATGGAAGGAAGTCTCATTAAAATGAATTTGGAAACATGCTTAGAATAGAGGTATTCCCTTTTATTTTCCCTTTCTCTGAAGCAGCTTTAGTGTGTGTGTGTGTGTGTGTGTGTGTGTGTGTGTGTGTGTTTATAGGTTTTCTATACCATCATTCATTACAAATCTCATGATGGTTTACAAGTAAGAATCTTACAGTCTAAAAATTATAAAATAATCCTATCCATACTTTAAATAAAATATATACACTGAATCAAAGTGCTACGTTAGGACAAAAAATTAAAGTATGAATGATTTGCTGACTAGTTGAAAACCGTTTCATTTAGTAGTCAAGATTTTTCATTTCAGCGCATTTCTCAGGGTCCCAGCCCTAATCTCACCTAAATTCACTGGAAGTATCAACATTTTGAAAGTGTCCAAAAGTGGCTGATATAAACTGATCACAAACTGTACCTTGATACCTCAGTCCTATCAGTATTTACTAAATGGTATTAATGAGACTTACTTACATACAAGAACTCAAACATCTGAACTGAATGTAAAGGAAAACCCACTGTATCAGCTTAAATTTAATAGGGTTTCATTTATGCTTCTGTAGTTTACATATTACAGTACACATGAAATCCCCTCATATTTGCCCTGATGAACGTCTAGAATAAAATATAACTGTTACGAAATGCTACCTAATAATAAATAGCTACTGAAAATCACTACTTTAATATCTAGGGGCTAGATCACCCATTCCCATAGATAAAAATGACCAGTTAGTCTATCTGCAACATCTTAATTCATAAATTAAACACACACCACCACTTGATAAATAATTCTGTACAGAAAAAGCACAAAACATACTCTGGAATAATCAAGCTCTCTGGGTGCAGAATCTGATAAAGCTCGCATAAGAGCATTCATCATACTGACTGGAGGAGAAGGTGGAGAGGGCTGGGAAGGTTCTTGCTGCAAAGGGCTCTTTGGTTTGGAAGGCAACCGACCTCTTCTCCCTTTCAAACTGTCAGTACGAACAACTGATCAAGGAGTAAAAGAGAAAAATAGCACAATCAATAAAGACACACATATGGCAAATTCCTAGGCATATGTAAAGAATATAGGATCAAATTTTGACCAATGCAAAAGAAATTAAATCAGACAGCAATGCTTTCATCCAATCTTCCTACACATTCACATTAGGGTTTGCATTGCATTTCAAGGACATAAACAGTTATTATGACTATAGCTATATATCTATATAGCTCCACACACACACACATATTGGAGTCAGTATTCAACAACTAGATCACTATTGTGTCCATATTGCATATAAAGATGTATAGCCTTTGAATCAGCATAAAATGTTATAGATCTTTTATATGACTCTTGCATAATTAAATGTGTATATGTGTATGTGTGTGTGTGTGTGTATATATATATACATGCTACTGCTCTGCTAAAAAGAACACCGTTTTGTTGCAATTTATTCATCCATATAATATAAGGTAGAATAGCCAAGCAAATGAAAGATAATACATGCATCCTGTAACCACTTGAAAACATGCAGAACATGCCAATTATTTTCCTCAAGTACTCAAATTAGTTTGTGTTGCTGATTTTAGATACATAATTAGAATGACAACACAATTAAATATTTTAGTTGATTAATCATTCACTTTTAACTGATTACGTTATCATTTTTATTTAAATATATTTGCATATCACTGAATCTTCAATATGGGTTCCTTTTGAGATACTTAAGTAAGTTTGAGATAACATGTACTTTTGAAAAACAATAGCTTCTACTCATTGTTTGAAAGGTTAAAGTTAGTATTTTCATTCCATTACATTAAGACACCAGAAGAAAAGCAGCCTTTATAAACAGTATTTAAAAAGCTAACTCTGCCAATAACTCAAGGCTTTACTGATTAAAATTTGACCTCACTAAATCAAATCAGTTTCTACTGATTAATCAACTACCAGCTTCAATTTGATTAAACTAACTGATAAATGAATAAAAGCTTACAGCCCTAATAAGTGTAACAATAACTCTGTATTTTTATCATATCTAAAATGATTTTTGCTATTTTTGGAAGAGGAAAATTGCAGCATTTGACAGATTGGACAGAAGCCTAAATACAGGTAGGTTAGATACAATGAAATACAAACATCCCTTTGTGAAGTTGAATGCTTTAAACAAGCATTGTGTGAAACCTGATTTGACAGCAAGGAGAACGGATTAAAGAGCCACTGTGGAAAGCCTTCCTTGAAGAGTTCTGCTTTTCAGCTTAAATCTCTGAAGAATCTATTTGTCATTTGGAATAAAGAGATCGTACATATGCTGTAAAGCCGCTACTTTGTTACAACACTTGTAAGAACAAGGAGATTCATTGTTATTCCTAAAATTTGCCATTAAAAGCAAAGACTCGCTTCTTTCAAACCCAAGCCATTTAGTAGTGCGATGCATGGGCTAATAATAGCAAACTTTACCTTCTTTTACCATGCCGACGCTGAGACACTTCTGAAATCGGCAGTATTGACATCTGTTTCGACGACGCTTATCCACTGGGCAGTTTTTATTAGCCAGGCAAACATATTTTGCATTTTTCTGAACTGTCCTCTAAGAAAACCCAATGGAAGAAAGAGTCAACTGCGTGAGCTTGGACCTGACAAGTTGCATTTTAATTACAATGTGAAAAGCAACAGTGCAATCCATATAATTAGATAAAACTAATTTCCTAACACACAGGCCTCCAGGAAAAACAATTTTATTAGTGTTAGCTACTGACAATGAAAATTATTGAGGATGGTTCAGAAGCTAGGCTCTGAAGGTAGGCAACTCCTAGATGATAAAATCACATCTGAAATTACCAGGTCATCACATCATACTTCTGGGATTAGATTAGTTTTGCTTTTAATATTCCTTTGGGAACAATTTTGACTTGGTTCATTCCCCTGATTATTACTGACCTTATTAAAATAAAATCAAAAATGTCTAAAGATTGATTTTTCTCACTGTCTCTGTTGTAGGATATCATACTAAAGTAGTATAAGTCATTATTACAATCAATAACAAGGGAATAAAACATTATGAACAGTAAATATGTATGTATTCAAGAAAAATGACACAAAATTAAAACTATTTTGTATAGTATGTTTTATTACAATCAACCAAGATAGATGGGAAAGGGAGACAAGATCCAAAGTTGAATACTTTTCAGACCAATTGATTTTAATGGGAGCATTAAATTCAACTATGAAATAAATGGGCTTTAAAAATGCTTAAATGGATGGATCATGCCCAGATTTTTTAAAAATAAAGGTTGCTGTACTATTTTTCATGCAATTATTTTGAAATTTAACTCATGAAATAGGTTTTGTTAAATGATAGGAAAACTGATACTGCAATGTTTTGAAACACATAAAATAATTTAACTTCAAAGCATATATTTGTATATATAATACTGCTAATATTTATCATTCTGCTATAAGCAGAAATATAGTGAAGCTCCAATGGAACATTTTTCTGCTTATATATTCAAAGGATTGCCCTGCACTAATTTTAATACATATTTTTAAGACCCCAGTAAAGACCCCATACATTATAACTTGCAAGTTGTATTTGGGAAGCTCTTACTATCATGGAAGGCCCATGCATGACCTTCTTCAAGTCTAAAGAAATTTTCTGCTGTCTAGCTTACAAATTATGCCTTTAATATAATAAAATCAAACAAATATTCTGCCATTATCATTAAATAATGATCATAATAAATTGTTAGATTTTAGAAACTGTTCTTGCTTCTAGTAACAGCAACAAGAAAGGAATAATATCCTTTAGTGGAAGCAGAATTTACATTTTAGAGTCTAAGCCATGGGAACATTCTCTTGTCCAAACAGTACTGAAATTAATGAAAGCTTATACAGCTCTAGCTCTTTTCAGCCATACAAGCCAATATGTTGGTAGATTATGTCCTTGATCTTTCTTAAGGGAAAACTAGAGATAGATAATGATACAGACAGAAGTATATTGGCATTTCAGTAACAAGAACAGCCTACCAAAATCAACCGTCTATCAAATACTATGTATACAATTTGCAACTAGCACACCTATACAAATGGGATATAAGAACAATTAATTTCTAGCATGTTCCTAAAAAGAGAGAGAGAGGATGTTACAGAGGTTCAAAGTATGTCAGATATATTATCCTAGCAGTCATCACAACATGCCTGTTAAGGCAGATCCGTATTTTCATCGCCATCCAGAGCCTGAGGCAAGGCTTCCCTTTCATTCAGTTTTAAGAACAAACAAATGAAAATTATGATATAGAAGTCTTAAATGTGCTTGCATGCTAAAAGGCAGTAAGCATATTATCAATAAATTATTGCATTTCACAAGTATGTTCCGATACTCCAGCAAAAAAATAACCTTCTCCATGCCTCTTGTAGCACCTTGCAAGCACCATTCTCTACATGACTACACTGAAGCAATACCCACTGAGCGCAATGGACTTACTTCCAGCTAACTACATGTAGGATTGTTTGCAACCATAAAGATTAATAATTTTTGTGGCTTAAGTTTTCAAGGACTGCAGCTTATTCCATGTACTAAGTAAAGTTACTAATGAGGCATTGTACTGTAATGAATTCCCACAACACCATTTGGCACTCATTGCAATGGATCAGAATTTACTGATTTCTTAAGAGCATGTCAACTTTCCTGGAATAATACCTGTTTTAATACTAAAACACTGATTCACACTCACATCAATTGCTGCATGAGCAGAAACAGACTGCAGCTTGTCCTTTTTATGTTTTCCAGGTTAAATCTCAGAGTGCTTAGTTTTGTTTGATTTCATACCTAGTTTTAGAAATATTTATATTTATACCTGCTTCGGTTGCAATTCTGTGTAGACTTACCTGGGAGAAAGCCCCATTAAACTCAACTGGACAGATACAAGATTGTATTATAAACTGCATTTTTGGTTGTTCATTGCCCCTAGGATGAGATTCCTGTTTGTTTGGATAAGTTGCTCATTTAACACAGCTACTTTCATAGGGTTGTTGTGATATAAATTGGTGCCCTGAGTCCCTTGAGGAAAGGGCAAGATACAAATCTTACAAAATAAATCTGGATGAAGAATATGTCAGCATATGCATTACACACAGAAAAAGTGTATGTGTGGGAGAGTCAAATTACATATCTGGAAATTAGATTTTTGGTTACACTAATCTCCTATCATTCTTTCCTCCTCATTCATTTAGATTAATAAGCTTATCGGTGTGTGGACCTGTTCTTTCTCCCAAACCCACTTTTCATGGTGCTATGTAAACAATAAAAATGATGATGGTTCTTCATAAAGCAATAATCAACATTTTCCAGCATCAGTAAGAATTAAGTTTATCATGGTATCAGAAAAAGATACTACTTTGCCTCAATTATTTCCAATTATTCTGTAAAATGTGCAGTTTGGCTTCAATGTGGCCTAAACTAATTGTGACCAAACTGCACTGAAAGCAACTACATTGGCTTCCCTGGAATGTGCTGTTTGATTTTACCTACATCTACTCAGAAGTCAATGGAACTAACTCCCAAGTATAGGTATAAGTCATGTGATGTAATCCTGAATGCTCTGGTCAGTCATTTTGAGCAAACATGCACAGGATTGTGCTGTTAGCCACAATTAACTAGACTAGGGAACAGAAGCAAAGATAACAAATATTTGGCATTGTAGATCAGAGGGTCTATAGCCGTGCTTACCTTGAAGAAGCCCTTGCAGCCTTCACATGTCCGCACCCCATAGTGCTGGCAGGCAGCATTGTCTCCACAAACAGCGCAAGTGCCCTCTCCTGATGAAGAACTTCTGCTGGGTGGAGAAGGGAGGCCACTGCTGCTACTACTACTCTCCCCCAGAAGACTGGAAGTGGCTGCACTGAGGGCCAGTGGTGAGAAGGCTAAGCTGGCTGCTCTTTTGGACAACGGGAGTCCATAGGGATGGTTTTCCATTGCAGCTTGGCTTGCAGTAGGTCTATCTGATCCAATGGGTAGGCTCAAGGCAGTAGTATCATAGCACACGTGGGCACCAGCAGCAGGTATATGGGGTGGCGAGTGCTTGAAATGGAAGAGAGGAAAGCGGCCAGGCACAGTTTTCATGGGGGCAGTGTCCATCAGATGGCTGGGAGCCATGCATGTTTGTGCTGGTGGAAGAGGGTGTGGTTCATCCCAGGGGGCCTGGTGAGGTTGAAAGCCAGGTGTGGTGGGGGTGGAGGGTGGGGATTGCTTGAAGTACATGGAAGTGTTGGCCATGCCTTCATCTGCAGAAGGAGGCAGTGACGGGTGGTAACTGTGCATCCGATTGTCTTCCATCTTGATGAGAGGTCTCTGGCTTGCAGAGGTGGACGGTGAGGAAGAAGAGGAGGCAGACTGCATTTGGTATAGGCAGGAGGGCTTGAGCTCATAGCCCCCAGCATAGCCCTCCATAAAAGTGCTGAAGCTGGGCAGAGAGGTGGTGGCAGTGGCGCTGATGTCAGAACTGCTCAGCTCCATGGTCAGCTTGGCGTAGTCAGGATTCATGATCTCAGGACTGTACTCTGAGCCATAGGTGAAGGTCTGAGCTGCATAACTTGAGCCAGGGGGCGAAGGGCTGTACTGGGCTTGCACGCAGGGCATATCTGCAAGGGCAAAGGTAATGATCCATTAACAACAGCTGTTCCTCAATCTTTTCCATGTATCCTCCTATTGCATGCTCTTGCGCTTCACCGAAGCCAAGCAGGCATAACTTCTCCATTCTGTCTTGAAGATGCTTCAAACCGTGATGAGTTTTATCTTTGATTAGTCATTCCTTGGGGAAATGTTTCAGTGTAGGGAAAAAGCATGCTGACCATGTATGATCATTACATGTGCACCTATTTTCCACTTCATGTACAATGCATGTAGATGCAGTGAAAGAGACATGGGTGCAATTGGATTTTAGGCTTTCTATTACACCAGAGGGCTTTCCTTGTAGGGAGTTCAGTTCCCCATATTTGTGCCACCTGCTGGAAAGAATGTGGGAGCTGCACAGCCCTCAATGTACAAGAGTCACTTCTTGCTTTCAGCTACACAGAATGAGATCAACAAACTTAGTCAGAGTTTCATAATGATATATCAGGCAGAATTTAATCCTCCCCTCCTTGAAATGTAAATGAGAAGCAAACAGGGAGTTTATAGCTTTTGAATGTGTGCAATTATGTCATAAAATCATGATGGCTGTGGAAGAAATCAAGTTATCACAGACATTACAAAAAAGGAAACTAAAAGGTTGTCTACTGTATAGCTCAAAAGAGGAACAGAAATGTTTACACCTACTACTACAGATAAAAGCTTCTAACAGTTGGATCTGCTTGTTAAGTTTCTGATCTTAATGTATTTCAAACCTTTTGTATTACAGTAAATATTTAAGTACATGAATTAATCTAATTAATGATAGCAGCAACAATAATTTCACTGTTGGCACTGGAATTACCAGTACAAGAACCTGATCATCAAACTCAATATATATTAAGTATACCAATTCTACGCTTTTTTCTTTCTTTTGATTAATGGACTATGATGGAACAGCAAGCAGTTAAACAGTTGCATTAAAAATATAAAGGAAATAACTAAGTTTTAGTGTCAACATCTGAGGAATAACACAGGCTTTGGAAAGGAAAAATGAAGTAACATATTTATTATGTACGAAAGGACATTGTGGACAAGCATAATTTTTGGTCTCTTACATTTATTATGAAAGAAAACACACGATAAAGGCATTTTTCACTTAAACAGTAGCACTACAATTTTATACATTTCTATTCAGAAGTCCTGTTGAGATCAATGGGACTCACTCCTTGATAAATTTGTGCAGGATTGCAGCCTTACTCTTCTCCTTTGATATGGAAAACAACTTCTCTTCCTTTTTTCTTTTTCCAGCAACATTTTACATCTATATAAATAACTAATTGTCTCATAAATAATAGTTCAGTATTTCTGCCACATTGAAATATGGTTTACATCAACAGCTTTTTAACTGCTGGAAATTGCAAAGAAAGATAATCTAGTCTTGTTCCTTTGCACATGACATGAAAGAAAATTCCTTTATCACATTTTGTAGTTGATAAAAATTGGTAAAAGATAATTCTAAGCATTCCCCTCCATGTATTTATTTGGGGAATGCCCTCTCTAATCAGTCCACATAAAGAGTAAGCATAGAGGTATAAAATAAACTCCTGGGAAACATCTGTTTTTGACATCGAAGAAATGTTCAGAGAACTGTAGTGAGTGGTTTCCTGAGCAATGTTGTTGAACCACGTGGGTCACATATTGGTTAGAAAAGAACCCCCACCACCTCCCAGCCCCAGCAACATTTCAGGGAGAAGTGTGGTTTAACAGAAATCAAATGTCACCGTTTGACATTTGGACAAAGAAACTGATAAGGGTGCAGGGTTTTCTCGTAGGACATAAAAAGAGAACATGAATCCTTGGGAGTTTTCTCTCTCCTTTCCCCCCTTGCAAAATCACTTTTGAATATCACACAAAGTCCTTCCGAGAAAATTATACCAATCTTTTGCACTACTTTTGCCGGGCAGTTCCGTGCAGCTACGAATTCAGAGTCAACTGTTTTTACAGGCATTGCAGGAGGGGAGTGTTAGTGGCTGCATGTGAGCAGCGTTCTCTTTACCTGGATGGTGACTTGCTCGCTGAATGGTGGGGGCGGCTGGCTGGACGGCGGAGGCTGCTGGTGCTGTAGGGGCAAGTGACGGAAACAGCCGTGATCCGTCCTCTGCAGGGTCAGGTGTGGAGCTGGGGCTCACGGGAGAGGGCTCTTCCGACCTGGGCTCTAACACAGACAAAGGGAGTCAGACGCTGGGTCAGCAAATGATCCCTTCCCTGGCCAGGTGCACCCCTTCCCTCTGGCTCAAGTGGAGAGTGCATCCAAGACAGGTGAACCACCTGGCCCTCAGAAGTGGGAGTGGGGAGCTATGGGGGCCTTTTGGACCTCCTGGGAATGCTGCAGGCCCCTTTGTTTGCTTTCATTAAAAGTTTTAGTTTTGACAGAGTGGTGGAGAGGAGATTAATGCATCTTCTAGCCTTTCATTTGTGGAGGTAGAAGGAAAAGCTTAGTGGAGCATCTTGCATCCTTAGGTAGAAGAGCAACTGACGCCCTGCATCTCAGTTCAAGATGCACCACAAGTCTGGTGGAGCTATTTTAGCATGGAAGATAGACAATCCCAATCCCACAGACTCCTCTCTTTGGGAGTAAAAACAAAAAATTAACACAAACTTATTTCTTTTTTGAACAGCATTTTACTGACTTTCATGACACCCCAAATCAGCCACTGCCTCACTGGATATAGCACTTGTCAAAGTTATTTTGTAGAATATAATGATATTTCATTAATATCTAACATGTTCTAAACCAGTCTGCCCTGATGAGCAGCCTCCAGATGTGCTGGAGTGCAACTCTTAGAATCTCCATTCAGCCACGGTGAGTGATGTAGTCCAATATGTCTGGAGGGCACCAGGTCTATTACTAGCTCAATCCTATGCACATCTACTCAGAAGTAAATCCCACTAAAGTCAATGGTGCTTCCTCCCAGCTAAATGCACATGAGATTGCAACTAAGCTGCTTGCCTTTGAGTTCAGGCTATTCTTCATTGATTCAATGCACCTCCCCTCCCCCTTCTGTACCACATCTCTGGCCATGGGCCTGCAGGTCAACAAGTCTGAAATCAAAGGAACCGAATGCGTCTTCTCCACCACCCCATCCACCAGAAGTTTGACAACCCAAATGTCCAGCTGCTTTTTAGGAGCAGTGCCTTGCATTTTAGCATTATAAATTCCTTGGGGTTTGACCGCTTTCACCCAGCTTAAGCTCAAGAAGCCAAAAGAAAGCATCACCACGGCACAAAGCAGAGGACTATTGCTCACCACCACTGCTTCTGGAACAATGTAGCTATCCCTTCCCAACCAAATGAAGATTGTCCCATATCACAAGGAGCAGAGAGCACCTTTCTAGAGTGGAAATCCAATGGGACACAAGCCCAGTTTGTAGCCCTGTCCCAAGTCCATGGTTGGAAGCCACACTCCTTCCTGCCCTGGGCGCAGTCCTGGAACACCCTGGCCTAAAATCTTGCCAGAGAAAGGTGAGGAGTAGTTTCTCCAAATGCTGATCACATCCCCTTCCTTAATTCCACTAAAGCACTGCTGGGAAGGAAAGGTTGGGTTTGCTTCCTCAATTTTTTCCCCTTACGATTTAAGGATATCCACCCTTTCCCTAATAGTAATAGTGCACCTCATCAGGCACCAACTTTCTGTTTCATATGGTTTCAGAAAAGTTGGATGGCCAGATTCACTTGCACAGCACTTCCTCCAGAAGCTCAATACTCTGACTGAAGGGGATCACCATGAAAACTTTGTTCTTACTGGCCTCCCTGCCTTCACACCAGGGGCCTCTATGCGGCCCCTCTGTCCCCTAGAGCTCATTGCACCCTTGAGACAAACAGCCAGGGCAGGTGATGGTACCTGGTCTGTTCTTGTCCCAGAGTTTCCTTGTAATACTGAATTCCATCAGTCTCTTCACCTCCCTACAGTTTCCTCTGGTCACTCTCTTTCCTTATTTCCAAGCTGCTGCGGGTGCCCTAGAGACGCTCTGTGCACCCTAAAGCATGCACCCTTTCCAGGGTTATGAATCAGGAGAGGGATTTAGTTTTGCCAAAGCTCCTTCTCCTTAAGGGCATCTGGCATTCACTGATTCTGCCCTCCCCTCACCACGCATTTTGTCCATCCTTGAGGGTGGGGGGTGGTGTTTCCTTGGTTATCTTGACTCCTGACAACAGGGTCTCACCTCACTCTCTTCTCCCGTGTCAGGGACTCTGTGGGCTGCTCAAGAGGTTCGCAAGAGGGGCAAACGGTTGATGGACTGAAACCCTTGAAGGCAAGCTGATCCCATGAGGCTTGCCCCAATCCTCCTCCCTTCCTCTGTTAGTCATAATAACAGGACAGAAAAACAGAGGGATGGGTCAGCAAAGAGAAAGCAAGCTAGCAGTGACCACGAGGAGGAAGCTAAAAATTCCCAGGAGTTTTGCGGAGGGCACTGTCACTTTCGAGCCACAGTCACCAAATTACTTCTCTCTCCCCCCCCCCCCCGAAAAAAGCTCTAACAAAGTAGGGAAAACCAGGAGCTCTATAGTGCGTCACATTCTATCAGTAAGTTGACGCTTAATTCATCATCACAGTCCCTCTGTGATGTTTATGTTTTTAAATGAGAGGTGCAGACCCTTCCTCTCTAATTTTGGATACATGAGTGTTGCCTTAGGAAGACACACTACCTCGCTCACTGACACTTTTCTTTTTGTATGACTTTCGAGCCTCAGAAGTAGTATCTATCTATTTAATTTCTATACTGCTCACCAGCAGAATCTCTCTACATGATTCTGGCACCGCGTCTCAGTTCTGATTAAGCAATTGGGTCAAAATCTATCTCGAATCAAGCTGCTCCCGCCCTCTTCCCCCTGCCTGTCTTGAAAAGATATCCCCTTTTAAACGACCCTGTAGTTCTCCTACCTACCTGGAACAGTTTCTAGAAGTAATTAATTTTTAGAAGAAGAAACACAAAGTTCAGGAACTGCCCTCCAGTTCGAAAGCATCCCTGATGAGTTGGAACTCTCTGCAGTTATTTAGGCAAATATACTCTGCACCTTCTCAGAGACATTTTCAAATCTGGGATATGTCGCAGGGCTGATAAGCCTGACATAGGAAAAAGATGCCAAGAGATGCTCCTTGGTATATGTGTGGCTCTGCCTGGAAGTGAAAGGAAAGATTCTTCCTCTTCAATCCCAGGTTCCTGTCTGTTCCTGGTTATGGAGGAAACAGACATTGCGTATACTGGCAGCTACTCTTGTTAAATTATTGCTTCCTATCTCCTAAAGTTCAACCCACTGAAAACAGGCTGTGCGGCTCCAGTGAAGCGCGTGGCAAACACGGGAGCGCAATCCATCTGGAGATTTAACAGCTCTGCTCCCCGCCTCCTCTCCCCTTCAAAATGATCGCCCATTTTCCTGTATCTTACCCTGACACGCTCAGTTAACTAAAGAAATCGTGAGTTGTGTCTCCACGAACAGAAAAAGTTTGAAACCATGTCGGTGCTTCTCCAACAGAGCCTTGCCCCGCGCCCCACCGCAGTGCCTCTCCTCGCCTGTTCCACGTGCGGAGTAGTGGTGCGCTCGCAGATGAAAAAGGCCAACGATGAGCCAGGCGCTGCAGCCCTCTCGGCTCGTCCGTCTCCTTCCACCCAGCAAACAACCAGCTGCAGACAACACTGCCAGCTCCTTTCACGACCTTCCCCGCGCCCCGCTTTCTCCTTCTAGCGGCCCCGTCGGCTTTTGTTCTCCCAACGATTCGCCATTCCCTCCGCCAAACCGAACCCACCCCAGCTCAACCTTTGGCCGGAGCCACGCTCATGCAACAAAACTCCAAGCGCCTCTCTTCCCAAGAGGAAGTTCAGCTACGGCAGCAGCCCCGGACGAGGACAAATTGCTGCCATTCATCAAGCCCAGGAGGGAGGGGAAGCCCGCAAGCATCATCCCCATGACAACTGTTAGCGGCGGGGAAGGGAAAACGAAGCCGGCCGAACGGCGAGCGAGCCAGGGCAAGCGAGCGCCGCCTCCCCTGCCCCCGAGGCTGCTCGCAAGCCCCCTCCCAGTCGTGGGTTCAAGTTTTGACCTCCGCTTAACCCCTTCATCAAGCACCGCCGCAAAGGCAGAGCGGCTTGTCCCTCGCCCAGATTTGCCTGACAGAAAGTGACCGAAACTTTGTCCAAGTCTCCCCGCCCGCTCCCTTTTCACCTTGCAGCAGCAGCACCACCTCCATCTCATTCATCGTATACATACTCGGTTGCTGTGGCGGTTCCGTCTTTACATGTAGTTTGTCAAACGCTTTATTCCTCTCAAAACGGCGGCTGGCGGGCGCTGTCCTGAGGTGCAGCAGCTGAGAAGAAAGCCCAAGGCTCCGGGGAAGCTCCAGTCCTGAGGGATGCGCTGTCCTGAGGCATTGGAGAGAAGAAGAAAAAGAAGACGAGCAACACCGGGAGCCAAAAGCCGCCGCGTCTCCTCCTGCTAGTGGCTGCTGTACGAGAGCCGGGACCGAGAGAGGAACCCGAGCCGGCGCAATGTGCCTTTGTTTATATACACCGACCGGCTGCGGAGCGCTCAGAGCCTGTCCCTGCTTGTTGTAACTGAGAGAGAAAGGAGGCTCCTGAGTGCGCGCTTGCTCTCCCTCTCCCTTCTCGCCGCACGTCATTTATGCGAGAGGAGCCGTAGCGGCCTCTTCATACAGCGGCTGGAATGCGAGACGTCAATAGTGACGCCATGGGAGCCTGACGCTACTGACCCCCGCCCCCTGCCCGCCCTGCCGGGTGTTTGGGTTTCTCTCTCTTTCTCTCGCTCCCCCCCCCGTGTATTTGTCTGTGTGTGTGTGTGTGTGTGTGAGAGAGAGAGAGAGAGAGAGAGAGAGAGAGAGCGCGCGCGCGCGCGCGCGCGAGCGAGAACGATTGAGAGTTAGAATGTATGCGACACACACTCACATTAGCCTGCACGTTTGCACACGGAAAGGGACGGTGACAATAGCTCTGCAATTCTCCTACTACTTGCAAAATGACTGCTGTAATAAGGAAAAGCCAAAAGAAAAGAAAGAAAAAAGGCGACACTGAAGCTCGGGTCAATAACGTTGGATTTGCAAGCGAAACTTCGGGACTCGGGAAGTTTGGGGCATTGTGTCGTTTTCACGTTGCAGTAACAAAGGACAGTGCTGCAAACAAGGCCTGGAAAAGTGACTTCCAGGAAAACAAGAACAAACTCAGAAAAATTCTCCTGACTGCAGACATGCTACTTGCATGCTACTTGGACAGCACGCCACCTGCTCATTGGAGTGATTTTTCTTGCATTCGGTTCTGCATGCTTGAATGTCCAAATCTAGCCAGGGGAATTCCACAACTTGTTGTTTTGAGTTGCTTTTGCTTGAGTTTTTGCAAAGGGGAATATGGGGTTCACGCCTCGTGTCAGAGGCATGCACTTCGCTGTGGCGAAGCAAACGGTACGGGCTGGAACCATCAAGAACTAGGTCGATGTGATTTTGTTTAAGGCCCCGGAGTCTATGAAGTTGCTTTATACATACACTAACGAGTAGAGCTCGTGATACCTTTTTCGGCTTTCTTAGCTCATATGGATTACAGCCTGTCTGGCTTTTTCAGCAGCCCAGAGAAGCGTTTGCCATTTCGGAAAAGGAACAAGGACAGCGCGGACGTCCAAGGAAAAGACCGTTAATCGGCCAGATGTGTCTTTTTACGGGCAACGTGACTGGCTCCGGCAATTAAACGTGCTTGAAAATTGTCGGGCTTTGTAAGATATGGAGGGGATGAGGCACTGGAAAATCCATGTACGTGTTGGCGTTATGCATGGCTGCAATCTTGTGCACTCTTGCAGGAGGGTAAGTCTAATTTGTGTGTGGGACTTGTTTCCTAAGTAATCTTGCACAGGATCGAGCTGAATGTCTACGCATGCGTGTTCATTCGAGTGCATTTATCTTTTTAACAAAGGTACCAACCGCATTGTTCATGTGGCTTGCACCTTTTCTGATAAGAGGTTGAGGAAATGTTCAGGAAATGTGCATGGGTCCCCAGCTTCATTATACATCTTCGCATCACGGGAACAGACCAGACGTTGCTGCAACCCAGAGCGCTTCGATTCCATCCCCACCAGTTTTTAGTATTCTCTTCCACCGAGAGAGCCTTCTTTCAGAACCAATCGGAAAGGGGACGTCACTGTGAAACGCCGACCCTCGTGACACCCCGGCCAATCCGAGCACGGGATGCGACGGGCTCTATTCCAAGCGAGGCGGGGACAAGCGCGACTTGACGCAAGGAACGCTCGTGATTGACGCAAGCGGTGTTGCTAAAATTAGCCCCTGTGGACTTTTTTGTGGGTGACGGAGGCGGCGACGGCGGCGCGCGAGGCGCGGCGCGGCGCGGCCTGAGAAGCCCATTGCATAGCTGATCCGGATTACACTGGGTGGGAGCTCTGCGCGCGCGCGCGCGGGCGTTTGGGCTCGCGCGCAAAAAGCTATTTCAGGAAAGGAGCGTGGCCGGACGAGCCAAATATAGCGCGAGCGGAAGATATTTATAGTGCCGCACATCCGTTGCTGCCAGGCGGCTCCTGCCGCTTTTAGGGGGTGGGGAGGGAAAGGCGAAGCCAAAGCCAGAACCTTTGCAGCAGGACGCGGTTTTACTAAGGGGCATCTGGGCGGGGATTCCCCGGGCCGGCTGGCTGGGGGCAGGGTGGAGACAGTAGGGGCTGCCCCGGGCTGAGCCTGACGCAATGGAGAGAAGCCGGGGGCGGGTAGTCGGGGATACCCCCGGCGGGGCGGGGACTCCTGCTCGTAACAGCAGGCGCAGTAGCACTACTGTCGCTGCTCGCCCGGAGGGGGCCGCTGCCCTCTCGTTTACAGTCGCAGGTCGGCCATGAGAAGGAAAGGCGCCTCCAGCCCGGCGAGCTGCTCCAACCAGCCTCCCTCCCTCTTCGAATGATGGTCTCTTTTAAAATACCTGTCGTGTTTAGCCGAAACCGACCTCATCAATTCACAAAAGAGCGAGGCAGCGCTAGGCCGTGCCTGGAAATAGCCGTGATCAGGACTCCGAAGTACGGCTCGACACGCCGTATAAACTTATTCAATGAGACCAGGGAGGTATTTGAAGTTCGTGTGTCCCCCATCCGCGCTCCCTTCAGCCTTTGCTTCTGGGCCAAAATCTATTTGCAGCGCTAAGCTGCTGATCTGGACTAGTCCGAGGAGACACCGAGGGGACAACACAGTGCTCATTCATAAGAAGCATCTTTAGTGTCGTGTATATGTACTCTGAAGTAAGTCTCATTGAACTCAGTGAGGTTTACTCCCCTGTAAAGGTGCAGAGGGGGTATTATATTTACTCAACTGATTTCAAGGGGTCATTTCCTTAAGTGTTAATAGGATTGGAGCTTTTTGGCTCATTTGCATACATATTCAAAAATAAGCCCTGCTGTGCTTTGTGGGTCCTATGTAAGTGATTCCGTAGGGTCATGACCGTACTTCCATGTATGGAAAACAAAGTGCTGTTTTAATAAAATACCTCTTCCTTACTGACAGACCTGATCAGGAATAGCACACTCTCACTATTATTCTAGTTCAGACAAACACTGAAATGCAAGATTGTTGACTATTGTTATAGGGACTGACTGTACTGGGAAAAATATTATTTGATGTTACAGTCCAGGCCAGTGGTGACAAACCTATGGCACGTGTGCTACAGCGGGCACACAGAACCCTGTCTGTCAGCATGCAAGCCAAGTCACCCCAGCAGCCGAGCATTGGATAACAGTGCACACAGGGGCGATGAGCATGCTCGGAAAGGAGTTGCGGCGCCAGGCGATGATGTCAGGAGCCGTGACTCATCCACGACTCATCCGAGCTTTCGCATGGCTGGTCAGTGCACTGACAAGGATATATATATATTTGCTTGGACTGGCTGTGAGTTTTAATACATTCGTTTTTATTAACACAAGATTTTAGCTTTGAGTTTTCTTAAGAAAAATTGAAATTTAATATCTAAGATTTAGCAAAGAGATGTTTTAATTAAGAGACTGAGATTCTTTTAATGTTGTGCTGTTCCCCTGGCATATTTGAGCCAAGATTACATTAATTGTGCAAAAGCATGCCGAATGCAAACTTTTACCTTCAATAAAAAGCTGTTTGTATCATTGAAAGCTCTGTTACTGTGTTTTTCTTTTAAGACAAAAGATGTTAATGTATGCTTTTTCTTTCTAAACCAAAACTTCAGTATTCAGGTTTTATTGCAGTGTTGACACTTTGCAATAAATAAGTGGGTTTTAGGTTGCAGTTTGGGCACTGGGTCTCTAAAAGGTTCACCATCACTGGTCTAGGCTATGCCTCACACTTAGGAGAACTTACATAATTAAGAAAGTTGCAAATGGTGCCCATGCAGTCAGGCCCTTGTCATGTTATAAGGTGGGACATAAATGGGAACAAAAATGAGGCTGGACAGATGTGTTTGCTTATTATATTTTTATACTGCCCTATAGTCAAAGCTTTTTTGGTGGTTCATAAAATCATAGAACAACATGATAAAACATAACAAAAATTTAAAAATTAAAATTATTAATATCAATCCAACACATTGAACTAGAAAAACTGAAGGACTAAAATGCCAGGAAAAAAACTTCACCTGTAAAAACCACAACATGCACCTGGTGCACAACCAGCCTTTACCTTAGTAGCTTTCACCTTAGTGGCCACTATCATGCTTCATTTGGTGGGAACACCTGGAGGAGGGCCTCTGAAGATGATCTTAGGATTTAGGCAGGTATATATGAAAGGAGATGATCCTTCAGCTAATCTGACCCCAGCCTATGCAGAGCTTGGAAAATCAATATCAGCCTTTTTACTTGGGCCCAAAAATCAGTATCACCTCATATTGTTGCTCATATATACTGTGAGGTTTTCAGTAACGGTATACAACTTTTGAATTTTACAGTAGTGCGTGGGAAGACATTTCTTTCTTAACTTTTCTGAATCAATTGTGATAGGATGGACAAGCAAGTTCCATAAGAAGATGGAGCCAAAGCTGTAATTCTTTACAGTTACTTAGCATTTTTAATTCTTACTTTTCAATGTAGAATGTTACCATTTTATAGACTGGCAGATCACTTGCTTCCTCTTATGCAACACGGTGGTTCCTTGCTGCCCTCTGCTGTTGGGATGTCACAGTAGTTTCAAGGTACCATGGTTTCATGTTTCTTTAAAGTGGGGGTGCAAGCAGGTTCATCTTCCACTAATTTTCCACCATCCCAAAAGCCTACTCTGGCAGATGTCCCTGATCGCTGTCTTTAGCCTGCACTCTGCATCTGAACTCAGAAATAGAATGAGGGTAAGTTGGGGAGCTGTGAGTACTCATGCAGTGATGCACTCTTTTCTCTTGTCCTCCTAGTGCTAGGGAAAGGTAAGCAGTGCAGAGGGGCTGTTCAACTCCTCACTCTACCACTAACCTTAAAAGTTAGTGTTGTTGGACACAGGTGTTAACACCAGTCTGGTGTTAGCCAGATTTTTGGACTTCAGCACCTATCAGTCTCAGCTTGCCAGTGCTGGGAATTATATTCCAAAGCACCTGGTGGGCTTCAGGAAAGTTGTAGGAAGAGGTTTCTAAGTTGTCAGCACAGCAAAACTGCTTAAGTAGTCCTGAGTGGTCTAGCATGTCTGGAGGGGTG